AAAAAAAAAAAAAAAAAAAAGCTGTTTTAATAATCCTCTTAAGGAGTTACTCACACTGCTCTCTATGTTGCCATCAGCACTTGTGGCACAGGAGCAATGGTGAGCAGAGCCCGCAGCACCACAGCCAGGTCAAGGCGGTGGAACTAGAGAGGTTACTGAGCTCTGCACTGCCACAGCTCAAACCAGCTCAAACCAGTGCCAGTGAAAAGTACTCACCATATTAAATCCATCCTTAATACATGTCTTCACAATGTCTGTGTGACAAACACATATACAGCATTTTTGCTGCATACTGAATGCGGTGGTTTTCTCAGGGAGAAGCACTTATGTAACTATTTGAGCTATGAGCAGAGTTAACTGCTTTTTAAATCAACCCTCAGTAGTTTTTATGAGTATAAAGAGTTTGTGAGATCAGAAAGTTTGAGAAGCACTGTCGCACTGGCACACTTTGCACAGTTCAGTCTTTTCTCTGGCCCTGCACAGAAACATGAGTTGAGGATGGAAGTGACAGGTTGCAGCATTGATTCAGGGTCAGAGTTTCACGAGGCAGTCAAGATGGACACGAAGAGGCACTGTGGAGAGCCAGTCGACTGGCTTTCCCCAGGTCCAGGACAGGGCAAGAAGGAAAAAAGGATGATGGATTAGAAGAAAGAGTTGGGGTCAGGTTGTTATATACTAGTTGAAGTTAACGAGAAGGGCCAGGCTGGCCAGGCGTGGTGGCTCACACTTGTAATCCCAGCACTTTGGGAGGCCGAGGTGGGTGGATCACAAGGTCAGGAGTTCGAGACCACCCTGGCCAATATGGTGAAACCCCGTCTCTACTTAAAAATACAAAAAATTAGCCTGGCGTGGTGGCAGGCGCCTGTAATCCCAGCTACCCAGGAGGCTGAGGCAGGAGAATCGCTTGAACCCAGGAGGTGGAGGTTGGGCAACAGAGCGAGACTCCGTTTCAAAAAAGAAAAAAAAAAAAAGAGGGAAGGGCTGGGCACAGTGGCTCACGCCTGTAATCTCAGCACTTTGGGAGGCTGAGGCAGGAGGATCGCTTGAGCCCAGGAGTTCAGGACCAGCCTGGGCAACATAGTGACACCCCATCTCTACAAAAAAATTAATTTAAAAAAATTAGCTGGGTGTGGTAACATGTGCCTATATTACCAGCTACTCGAGAGGCTGAGGCAGGAGGATTGCTTGAGCCCAGGAGTTCAAGGCTGCAGTAAGCTATGATCATGCCACTGCACTCCAGCCTGGGCCATAGAACAAAATCCAAACTCTGTTTCAAAAAACACAGAAAGAGAAGATGTGGCATTCTGGAAGGCACTGGGAAAGTCAGGATTTGTGGTCAGATGTAATACTAGCCTCAAAGGGACTTCCAGTCTCTTAGGAGAAATAAAACCTGTATCCAAGTAAGCATCTACACGGGCAACCATGATTCACACCCTCTGAGTGTTACCAGTGGATGCCCATGTGGCGTGGGAGGAGGGAGTCCGGACACTCTTGACTGTGGGATCCGCACCTGCCAGCTGCTTCCCATTTCTCTCCTTTTCTCCTTCTGTAGCTATGAATAATGTAGAAATAGCACTTGCAGTAAAAGAAGGCTAGAGCTCTAGCTATTTTTCAAGTAGCAAATCTTTTTTAATAAAGCTGTCTTCTTTCGAAATATATGCCTGGAGGTTTAAGGGCCTAGAATTTATTTAACTTGAAGGAACTAATGGATCTGTTTCAGAAATGCTTAAGCTGCAAAACATCCAGTTGGCTTGGAGTGCCTCTCTGCTTAACACTAACAAGTTTGGGTAGGACCCTCCTGCCCCCAATGATTTAGAAGTAGTGCTGTTAGAATCTCATTGTGGTCTAGGCCTCCTGGACTTTTGCTAGCACAGACAGTGTCTAACTGGGTGAAAAGCCAAATGACTTAATCTAGTTTCAAGAAGGTCCTTGAGAAAATGTCTGTGAGTTCTATGTGGGGAGGGCTGGTTGGGAGCAGGAAGCAAAGTGGGAGTTATTACCTATATTATAGACCACAGGAATCTTAAGATTCGGCAAGGGTTGTGTGTCTTGTACACATATCTACAAGTGTTCGTTGGAAGTAGGATTTGAGCCAGAGATGCCTGGGTTCTTGATCATCATGCTTCTTTATAATAATCTGACCCTTGAGAGGGCCACTTGCTAAACCTAGCCAGTTTGTGTGCCCACAGACCCAGGGTCCCAGCTGCAGGCATAACCACCTCTTCTACTGCGCAGATGCTGCTTCAGTCACGGCAAAACCTGTCTGGATTCTCTACTCTGAAAAGTTCTCTAGGCTATAAAACAAAATATCATTATTCCATAATTTCCTAAAGTGCACTTGTGTGTATTGAAAAGATTATAGATAGAAACATACATAACTTGTAAATGTATTCTATGCAGAATTTCTCATTATGTCCAGCATGTGGTTTGCCATGTTTATCATCTCCTGTTGTCTTAAGGTCAGGGGTTGCAACAAGGGAAGTCAAAATTGGGGGCTGGTGCTGAGCACAGATACACACCCACAGCCCTTCATTGACCTCAGGTGGCAAGATGTCTCCCATCTCCACCCAGCACCCAAGCAATCCCTTCGGAAGGTCTACTGACTGTTCTTAAGGGTTAGGCAACATTTTCTTAGTGAGTAAACAGTGAAAACTAACTTACTTGAAAATAGTGAGCTAGAAGTGATTTCCTTAAACTGATCATGAGTATTGTACCAAATTTTATGTGATTGTTCATCATTCTAGGAATGGTGAGAAGGGACATACAATTAAATTTTAAAATGTTTTAAGAAGAAATAAATGATATTTTATCATTCTACTTTGAGGGCTTAATAGTATGTGCTAATTTGCAGATGGATGAAGTTGACCTTGCCGCCTACAAATAACCTAATAAGAAATGATCATTGCCAGCTGGGCGCGGTGGCTCACGCCTGTAATCCCAGCACTTCGGGAGGCCAAGGCGGGCAGATCACGAGGTCAGGAGATCGAGACCATCCTGGCTAACACAGTGAAACCCCGTCTTTACTAAAAATACAAAAAATTAGCCAGGCGTGGTGGCAGGCGCCTGTAGTCCCAGCCACTCAGGAGGCTGAGGCAGGAGAATGGTGTGAACCCGGGAGGCAGAGCTTGCAGTAAGCCAAGATCGCACCGCTGCACTCCAGTCTGGGCGACAGAGGGAGACTCCGTCTCAAAAAAAGAAAAAAAGAAATGATCATTGTCAGAAAAGAGACTTCATTAAGTAGTGCCAGTGTTTTTGGTTTGGTTTGGTTTGGTTTGGTTTTTGAGACAGAGTCTCGGTCTGTCACCCAGGCTGGAGTGCGGTGGCACGGTCTCAGCTCACTGCAACCTCTGCCTCCCAGGTTTAAGCAATTCTTCTGCCTCAGCCTCTTGAGTAGCTGGGACTACAGGCCTGTGCTGCCACGCCCAGCTAATTTTTGTATTTTTTCTTTTTTTTAAGTAGAGACAAGTTTCACTGTATTGACCAGGCTGGTCTTCAACTCCTGACCTCGCCCACCTCAGCCTCCCAAAGTGCTGGGATTACAGGCGTGAGCCACCACACCTAGCCTGTTTTTGTCTTGTTTTAGTGTCACTACATTGTCTAAAAATTTATGGTTTTTATTGATTGGCTAGTTTTTCAGACTTGTTCCTTGGAGGCTTGGATTTTTTGGGGTGCCTCGGGCTGTAAACTAGGACCTAAGGGAAGACAGAGTATCTTCTTTTTTACCTCTGCCATATCTTGAGGCTCCTCTTAGGGTTTAATTTGAAGAAAAGACCTGCTACTTAAATTGAAACCAGTAGTCTGAGCATCACTAAATAAAAGGATACATGAAATATTTTTAAAAGGAGCCCCTTTGCTACCTTTTTACCAGAACAATAATGTTCTTTAGCATGTATTGTTTCTCAATACACCTACTCCTGCTACTAAACACAGTATTTCCTCACATTTCTCTTAACCCTTGTCCCAGCCACTGTTAGCCAGACCCTCCAGCCGTCTTTTGGCTGAGGTGGTGACTGGGGGCCAGCCATGGGGGCCATCAGGGTGAGCTGCTTGTCAGCGCCCCCTCCATCACAGTGCAGTTGATCCACATTTGTTCCTGCTGCTGCACCCTAGCGGTAAAAGAACCGCTCAGCTATTGACTATTGGCCAGGGCAAAAGAGGACTTAAGGCGTTGGGCCTTGCAGACTGACTCAGCTGCAGAGTTGGCTGGGAGGCCTTTGGTCACACATGTCTCTCAACCAGATCCTGGAAGAAGAGTGTTTTCTTCTGTGACCTTGGAGACCTGTTCTGTGTGTCAGGAGACAAATAGACCAGGACAAAAATGACTTCCAAGTTGATCTGAGAAAAGTACATACATAAAACCTTTGCCTTTGATACCTGCAGCGCAGAGTCCTATCTTAGGAAAAGTCCAGGTTTTGTAGGCAGACCTGGGTTCGAATCATGATCCCCGCTCCTTCCCAAGTGATGAGGTCTGTGATTGTCAGGTGGTCAGCCCCTACGTTCACAGTCTCAGGAGACTTGGAGATACAGTCAGCATCTTTTGTGCTGGCTGCTGTCTCCGTAGTCATGCTTAGGTTAGTTGTTTTGTGGGTGAGTTTACTTAAACAGGAAATTGAAGTATTTCCGTGACTACTACTCCTGCTCTCACTACTGCAAAACCTTTCTCTTTATAGCTCTGGACTTACTGGACAAAATGTTGACATTCAACCCTCACAAGAGGATTGAAGTAGAACAGGCTCTGGCCCACCCATATCTGGAGCAGTATTACGACCCGAGTGACGAGGTAAGAGCTCATGTTCCTGGCTGCTGCTTCAGGGACATAGATCAGCCAGCAGTGGACCAACCATATCTTGCTTAGATTTTCCTGTGATGTACCTGGTGCCATACCTGGTTCTTCCAACAAGCCCACCTTTGCCTTGAGGATGAGTGCTGTGGGGCACAGCTTGAAACCTCCCCGCATAACTCTCTATCTCAGCAGACTTCCTCCAGGCTACCTGCAACAGGTAGGAGTGGGGAAAATGCATGTATAAAGGGGACAGCTGCACCAGTGTGGAGCACAGAGAGGACAGGGGTCTGAGACTGGAGGCCATTGTCATGGTTTGATAGGAAGAGACACCTGAAGTGATGTGCTGGCCCTGAGGATGGCCAGAGTGGAGAGGAGGTGGTCAGCTTGCTGACAGGGACAGCACACAGAATAGGGAGGGAAGTCAACCTGGACAGTTTCCACTGTGGCTTGGCGACTCCATGTCGGGTGTGCTATTCCCTAGAGACAAGGACATGAGAGTCTGTTGTAAGAAGTGATGAGGCCAGAGTGGATGTGGCAGCTCTTCAGAGCAGGCGGGGCATTCGAGTAGAAGAAGCTGCATGTCATGTTCTCCCCAAGACAGTCCTAGTGCCTTGGCTCTCTGGTTCCTCTGGGGTTCAGTTTTAACTTTAATCTCTGAAGGATAACAAAGAAAAATGCAGTATGAACCAAAAGTTTGGATTGTTCTAGTTGAGGCTCACATGCACAGAGAATAGTCTTTACCCTCCTGTTTTTGAAAGAATGAGCTTTCCCTTCCACATCCATCTCCCTACCTCCAGCAACAAATGAGGCAGCTTGTGAAATACCTACAACGTAGCCAGTAACACAGAATAGGTGGGAATACAGGTTTGGGGTTCTTCTAAGCTTAGTGGGCTGGAGATTTCCCAAGCTTCTGAGTCCAAATCAGCTGGCTGGGGTAGTGGATGATGCGTGTAGGACACCTGCTGTGATCCCAGATGCATAGTCCTCCTTCGGGTTGAGCTATTTATTCTTCTGGACATGAGTCCTTGTCCGCTTTCGGATGGCCAAAGCTTAGTGCGGAGTTCGGGGTCTGTGCTTCCTCCTCCTAAAGGCCTCGTGTGAGGATTACATGGGTGAGACGTGAGAATCTAGGCATTCACTGACTGACAACTGGTATCATCATCAGCTTAGTTCTGTAACATTGCATTAGTTCACGGGCATTTAAAAATCAAAATGTGGCCAGGCACAGTTTCTCACACCTGTAGTCCCAGCTGTTCAGAAGGCTGAGGTGGGAAGATTGCTTGAGCCCAGGAGATCGAGGTTTCATTGAGCTGTGATCACACCACTGCACTCCAGCTTGGGTGACAGGCAAAACTCTTTCTCTAAAAAATAATATCATTGTTTGTCACTGAGTGTGTATGGGGTTCTTTGATCTAGACTATTTAAGCTATTTAAGCTCATATTTTACTTAAATAGCTTTCTGGAGCATGGTTAAAAATTTAAATGGGAGCTGGACATGATGGCTCACGCCTGTAATCCCAACACTTTGGGAGGTCGAGGCAGGCGGATGACTTGAGGTCAGGAGTTGGAGACCAGCCTGGCCAACATGGGGAAACCCCTTCTCTACTAAAAATACAAAAATAGCTGGGCATGATAGTGCGTGTTTGTAATCCCAGCCACTCTGGAGGCTGAGGTATAAGAATCACTTGAACCCAGGAGGCGGAGGTTGCAGCGAGTCAAGATCATGCCACTGCACACCAGCCTCGGCAATAGAATGAGACAGTCTCAAAAAAATAAAATAAAATGGGGCCAGGTGTGGTGGCTCACACTTGTAATTCCAGCACTTTGGGAGGTCAAAGTGGGTGGATCACCTGAGGTCAGGAGTAGACCAGTCTGGCCAACATGGTGAAAACCCTGTCTCTACTAAAAATACAAAAATTAGACGGGTGTTGTGGCAGGCAGGCGCATATAATCCCAGCTACTCTGGAGGCTGAGGCAGGAGAATCACTTGAACCCAGGAGGAGGAGGTTGCAATAAGCCAGGATTGCACCACTGCACTCCAGCCTGGGCAACAGAGCAAGGTTTTGTGTCAAAAAAAAAAAAAAAAAAAAAAAAAAGAAGAAAACTTGTGAGAAAATACAAGAGTGGTTTTTTTTTTCATACTACAAAGATGTAGCTCTATAATCTTGTTACAGTTATTAACATTTTGGAGTATTTCCTTCTCGGTCTTATATTTCTGTATCTAAATTTTTAAAATAAAATAGTTTTCATTTTCTTGACACAATATAGGCATTTTCCTATTAATCTTCCTTGCAGTTTATTTTATTTTATTTTATTTTTTCTTTTTTGAGATGGAGTCTTGCTCTGTCACCAGGCCAGGCTGGAGTACAATGGTGTAATCTCGGCTCACTGTAACCTCCACCTCCCGGGTTCAAGCGATTCTCCTGCCTCAGCCTCTCGAGTGGCTTGAACTACAGGCATGCACCACCACACCCAGCTAATTTTTGTAGTTTTACTAGAGACGGAGTTTCACTATGTTGGCCAGGATGTCCTCAATCTCTTGACCTCAGGATCCACCTGCCTCGGCCTCCCAAAAGTGCTGGGATTACAGGCGTGAGCCACCATGCCTGGCCAGTTTTTTTGTTTTGTTTTGTTTTGTTTTTTTGAGACGGAATCTTGCTCTATTGCCCAGGCCAGAGTGCAGTGGCACAATCTCAACTCACTGCAACCTCCACCTCCTGGGTTCAAGCAATTCTCCTTCCTCAGCCTCCCAAGTAGCTGGGATGACAGGGATCTGCCACCATGCCTAGCTAATTTTTGTGTATTTTTAGTAGAGATGGGGTTTTGCTATGTTGGTCAGGCTGGTCTCAAATGATTCTCCCACCTTGGCCTCCCAAAGTGCTGGGGTTACAGGTGTGAGCCACTGCGCCTGGCCTTACAGCTTATTTTTTAACAGCTCTAAGATGTTTTTTCATATAAAGATACCATGATTTATTTAACGAAATGCATGTATTTTAGTATTATGGGTGTTGATTGGATAAACACGCACCACCTCCACAGCAGCACATTTCTCTTATTTCAGCATTCACTGCCTTAAAACATTTTAAAATTCTTCTGGGATTTGTGATAAGTTCAGAAGAACACTTTAAACGGATTCAGTTGCTCCCGGTCTAAGTGCTTATGAGACCTTCCGGAGTGTGGGCACAACTCTTAGTCTTTCGCTCTGTCCCCCAGACTGGAGTGCCACGGCACGATCTCAGCTCATTGCAACCTCTGCCTCCTGGGTTCAAGCAATTCTCCTGCCTCAGCCTTCTGAGTAGCTGAGATTACAGGCGTGCACCACCACACTCGGCTAATTTTTTATATTTTTGGTAGAGACAGGTTTTCACCATGTTGGACCAGGCTGGTCTCGAGCTTCTGACCTCAAGTGATCCGCCCACCTTGGCCTCCCAAAGTGCTGGAATTACAGGTGTGAGCCGCCACGCCTGGCCAGCAACTCTTAAGTTTTTATGAGACATCAGTCCTGTTGTATAAATTCAGAATCTGAGCAGTGGTCATTTTATGGATCAGTAAATTACTGCCTTACCCATAACAACTTTGACTGTTAAATGTTTTGTTTTCTCTTAAAGCCCATTGCCGAAGCACCATTCAAGTTCGACATGGAATTGGATGACTTGCCTAAGGAAAAGCTCAAAGAACTAATTTTTGAAGAGACTGCTAGATTCCAGCCGGGATACAGATCTTAAATTTGTCAGGTACCTGGAGCTTTAATACAGTGAACTCCAGCAAGGGAGGCACTGCCTTTTGTTTCTAGAATGTTATGTTCCTCGAGGTCCGTTATTTTGTATTCTTTTCCAAGCTCCTTATTGAAAGGTTTTTTTTTTTAATTTAGAATTAAAAATTATTTAGAAAGTTACATATATTCTTTTAGGAATCTCTTTCTTGTTTATTAGAAACTCCAGGTACCTCCTTTACTCTCAAGGGTAGTGAATGTGATTATTTGGAAACAACTTTTTCATATTCTAGATTGTTCATGTTTGGGTTCTCATCCGTTCCTTGCTGCCTGTCCAGAGCAGTTTCACAGTTACATGAGCATCTCTCTGGAAAGGGTTCGCCTCAGGACTCCCTTCCTCCCAGGGAATGCAGAGCCACCAGTAACATAAATCTAGTGTTAGGGTCCTCTGTGCCTGCCCCTTCAGAAACTCCTAGCTGGGACCTGGTTCTACAGTTGATGTCACATACAAGGGGCCCAGACCGTGTTACCAGTTCAGACTAGCAGTGTAGGCTAGAGAGCTGGGGAAACTTCATCCAAGAGATGGAGGCTGGGCTGAGCAGTCGGGGATTTACATGGGCCTGCACAGAAGCTACATGTGCTTAGGTCATAAGAGGAGGTGAACAACATGACAATATTGGTAGATTTTAAAAATTGAGTAGACCCAACACAGTGGCTCATGCCTATAATCCCAGCACTTTGAGAGGCTGAGGGGAGAGGATCTCTTGAATCTCAGAGTCCAAGGCTGCAGTGAGCTATGACTGTATCACTGCACTCCATCCTGGGTGAACCCTGTCTCAAAAAAAAAAAAAAATAGTATACAGGAAAAGAAGGCAAATCTTGATTTTAGAGAGTATATGACAAGAGGGGAGAGAACTGGACTTGTGTTTAGAACTCTATAGAAAAGAGCAGTGAATAAAGAATTGTGAGCCAAGGTAGAAGCAGTTGCTGGGGAGATGCTTTGGACAGAACCGTGTTGCAGTTACAGGTGTCCATTCCCTGTCATTGAGGACAAAGAACCAAGCAGACATGAGCTGAGGCCTGACATGACCCACACAGCCTCCAAGCAGATAGCGCTGAAAGCCAGGCAGGGCAACAGAGTGGGGAATTGGTAGTTTGGGGGATGGAAAATGGTGTTTTCAAAAGTCTGACATCAAAGCAGGAGGGGTTGAAATGAGGGAAGACTGGGTAGGACATCAGCTAAGAACAAATGCCTGGTCTTCCATACCAAAGGGGCTGTAGCGTTGGACTAGAAATGAAGTGGTGAGAAGCGGCAAATTCAGGAGAAGGAGGAAAGGCAAAGTCTGAAAGACTGCGAATTTTCTAAACCTACCAACTTAGGGGAGGCAGGGCTGCTGGCACTGTTAAACCCTCGCTTAGCCTGCTGTTGACACCAGACACACCCTAAAAGACGATCTCTCAAACCCAAGGGAAGTGTTGTGGAGTCACGCAAACAGGATGTGCAATGGACTGCTAGCCATAAGCCCTGTGTAGTGACTGAGAAAGAAGCCTGTTATCAGCAGGGGACTGAGCTGGTTCCTGTCTTCTGTTGCCCCATACTCATGTGGCTGTCTAGTGGAGGAGGTGTTAGCCACAGTGATTTGCACACTCACTCACTGACAGAAAGCTGGGCCCCAGGATCCAACCATTTTCACACCTGCAGTCCCCACAGAGCTTCCTTCCTGGCTCCTCCATGAGGCGCTTACAGTGGAGCAGTTGTCTCTGTTTCTCAAGAGTCCCTGCCCCACCATGAGGCTCCAGGACACACTCCCAGTACAAGGTCAGGTTAACTAGACCCTGGTCAGCCGCTGCCTGTTTTTGTAAATGGAGCCGCACAGGGCCTTGGATTTGCTCACAGGTTACCTTTGCTGCCTTTCCTCTACAGCGGTGGAGTGGGGTAGTCACAACAGACCTGGATGGCCTGTGAGGCCTGAGAGGTTTACTCTTTTGCCCTTTACAGAACCTAGAAGATGGAACTGAGCAACCTCTGTTGCTTTTCTTCCTTCACAATTCCTTTCACAATCATTTTCCCTCAGCCAGGTGGTGGTCTGTGATCATCTCATCTTCTCTGTTGCTTGAGGTCAGGCGTGCTGCCTGCTTAGTCTACCTTAGACACCAAGAGCAAGCGGAGCAAGCAGGATCTAAATGCGGCCTCAAAGGGGCCCATAGTAGGGGAGAAAGGCACACAGACACAACTGTGCACATTTTTAGTATAAAAGAGCTTCTGGGGTTGACGTGATAATTCATTTTTCATCACTTAATCAGCATTGAGCACTTCCTTTTGCCAGTTAGGAAGGGAACAAAGATGAATAAGACACAGGCTTTGCTTTCCAGCAGCCTCATAGCAGGAAATGTAAACAACAAGGAGTATACAGAGTCCCAGTGGTGGGCACGGGCATGGTGGGCCCCAGAGGGTAAGGCAGACATTAAAGCCTCGCAGAGTGTGGCCGACTTGCAGTTGGGCTGCAGCTGAAACCTGACAGTTGGGTTATTTGCTGGTTGGGGAGGGGCACGGCTGTGTGGAACCTGGAAGGTGGTCATGCCAGACAGCAGAGCAAGAGGGGGCTGCAGAGAAAGAGGCCAGCCCAGGCTGTGGCCTTTGCCTCCCCAGGAGCCCAGCTCTCCCTCACAGGTAGCTGCCTGACCTGAAGCAATGGCTCAGGTGACTCTGGCGGCAGTAAAGATGCAGGAGGACCTCGGAGAGCAAGGACTTGGGGGACAGCTGGCCAGGCCACTGGTGACAGGCAGCACCGCAGGCACAAGGATGACAAGACAGCGGCAGGGTTGTTCCTGGGGCCACAGGACACAGTTGCTGACAGCCTCCTGAAGCCAGCCTTGCAAGGCGGGGGACCAGTATCCCTGTCGGGTCCACCACCACTCTGAGAGTCCCGGCGTGGCAAGGAAAGTCACCTCTGTGTGTTGTTCATTTGCTCCAGACACAAAAGACACACAGATGCTCCCTGTGTGCTTATAGCATGATTTTTTCCCCCAACATTCTTTTAATGACAGTTTTCAACTATTCTGAAAAGTTGAAGGAATTTACAGTAGACAGCCATATTCCCACCACCTAGATTATACAGTTAACATTAACATCTTACTAGTTTTCTCATAGATCTGTCCATCTGTTCCTCTATCTACCCATCAACCCATCTCATTTTATCCATTCATTGCAAAGGAAGTTGCCAACATCTAGACTGACTTATAATTTAATCATCTAGAATATCACATGAATCCAGGGGAAGCTGGGGCTGGGTTGGCTGATTAAACTATGGGATAGGTTCTTTCATAAACATTTCATTTTGGTGATCACAACAGAATGTTGGGAAGTCAGCATGCATCCCATGTTTATGATTGAGGAAACTGAAGACATGAGCCTCTGAGCACTTTGCTCAAGATTGTACATCAAGTAGCAAAACTAAGCAGAGAATCCAGGTATTTTGGACCCAGAATACCATTTTCTTGAAATGTTTGCCAGCAGGAAACAGTGGCAGGCTGCACACTGCCTGTGACTAGCCTTGCTCCCTGGGAAAGGTCTCGGGACTCATTCACAATACTAAGGAGCATTGTCTCTGAGTTTTCAGCCCACACACCGGAGATCAGGAGCTCTAAATTGGAGAACTCAGGAGGTAAACGTGTAATAAAACAAGGGAACACTGGGAGGGCACTGTTGACCGTTTGGCTGCAGCAGGAAGGGCCTAGAAACATA